CCAAACTGGCACCGCGATATTCGACAAAAGACGATACATACTATCATTTGATTATAGAGTTTAGAACTTTTTATTTAAGATTAAAATATTCCTTTCTCTATCAAATAAATATGATTGGCGCTATCGATCCCATTTTTTTTTTAACGTATTCAATCAGCTTTTATTCACTTTAGCTTACAGCCAGAAAGTGGGATCGATCCCATTTTATGATACATTCAAGTGTAATTGGATCCGGGAATTTTTTCTGTGGGTGTGTTAACAAATGGCTAGAAAATGTCAATGTAACTCGTCAAGTAATCAAAGTAATTACAGTAATCGTAGAACGGTATCGTATTATCATATTATCGGTATTGTATACGATCGATATTCGTGTAACACATCTTTCACAGGCAAAGAGGCCCGTGGATAACTTACACGTGAAATGCGGCGTACGAGTACATTACCTCGCGTAATTATCTCTATAATTATCTCTCTCGGTAAATCGTTTACCACTCGGTAAATCGTTTATCGTTCGTTAGCGCTCGCAAAGCGCTGTCGATCTCCAAAGGTGGCGCAGAGTTACATGGGATTTAATAATCCCAGATTTAATAATAGATACGCCGCATAATCTCCTTTAAATATTTGAGTGCTAATCCCGCGAAAGTTGTCGCAGAGAGCCGCGGTGTCGGCGCCCGACAATTCCGCCATAATTTCTGCGGCTACACGCCGCGCCGTCTCGAAATTCAAATCGGGCACCGCAGGCGCCTCTGGTAATTAGAAAGTTCATTACCCTGACAACAGAGTGACAACGGCAGAAATCCGTATCTCTGCTGTCGCAGCTCGGCGACTCTGTGAGGTTCCCCCCCTCTCTCTCTCTCTCTTTCTCTTCGCTCTCTCGCCGCTTTAGACTTGCATCTATCAGCATTCATATCATTGGCAGGTATATCCGTCATTGATGGCGAAGCCCACACGCATTGCCCGCTAGAAAAGAGCCCTACGTCCTACATCGTACGACAGCGACTCGCTCGCAGATAACAATGTCACTTGTTAGTTAAAATACAGAGCGTTGTAAACAATAAGCAAGGCGGCGAATACTTCGTATTCGCGGGGAAATGACAGTCTTTCATTTCTTTTGGGACGCAACGTCCTACCTTCTTCGCGTCAATCTCTGTCATTTGGTCGCGTTGCAGGCGGGTCTTGACCGTTTTAGATTGAACGTCGGGATATCTCTCAAACAGGGTTATCACATTTCAAATTATGGCAAGGCCGCCCGATTCGATTACGCATTATGAGATTTCGCGAAGCGCCGTCAAAATCACACAATATATTCCGGGCGCGGGACATGTCTGTAATATCGTTATCGGTTAACGCAATTTTCGCGTAACATCTTCGTCGCGTAGGACACCACGAGCTACCATCAGGTTCATTCTTTAATGAAATTACGACCGGGCGAAACTCTTTTCCTCCAAGGATAATAGATTCACAAGTATTTCCGCACTCGATATTACGATATGCGCGAATATAAGCACGGTATTCGCTGAGAACAGTTTCATTTTAATTGAAAATTAATAACTTGACGCGTTTCTGCCTACACTCTAAAAAAATATCTTACTAACGCAGGTGGAGTTCAGGTTCGCAACAAAAATTTATCGCTATTTTGCGTATCTGTTGGAAAATTGTTTGTAGCCTGCAAACCTTATAGCGGCAACATTCTAGCAAGCCTAATACACGAGGAAGAAGAAGACTAAGCATTAATCATTCGCGTTGGATAAAAATGAATTTCGGTACCATAGCTAGAACAATCTTTGTAAGGAATATAACTGTTTATGTACCACAATCAAACGTTATAATGGATGGGTAATCGCAGACAGACTTTCTTCCTAACATTCGCTAACAGTTGAGATAGAACTTCTGTTTCTGCCACTTAAAGCGATTAAATGCAAAACATGTACGATTGCGCAGCATTGGCTAATCATTTATACATCTCAGCTGTTGTTCGCACCTAGAAAATTATTGCTGCGGTTGCAAGATCATTTTTGTTTTGTCAGTGCAACGAATCTGTCCAGCGAGATCTAAATTTCACCGGAAGAACGTTCCCCGGAATACGCTCTCGCCAAATCTTGTACGTCCGCGCGTCATAACTCGTTTCATTCGTTACAATAGTTAACGTATCGCGCTGTCAGTGGCGGAGGGCCTATTCCGTAAAACGTTAACAAGTCGCGACATGCGACGACCGCGACTGGCACAACGTCGTCCCGAGTAATGTCATTATTTCGCCGCGCCGTGGAAGTTATTACGGGACGCGATTTACTAATGCGCGTCGAACGTCATCCCCCGGATTTATCGCGCCGTCGTCGCTCCGCTGGAAATTCCGTCGGAAAAGTTGCAGCCGCACCTGAGGGAGAAAGATAATTGGAAAACATCCGTGGCATTTCACGATGAACCCGGACGGACGACGATACGTACGGTCCGACCTCACGTCATTGTTCCGCGCGTGCATTGTCGATACCGTTTCTAATATACTACTCGCGCCAAGTAATGTCTATGCAAACGACGAGCGAATCCGCCGGGGACGGGGGAATATAGGCTTATCATTTTTCATCCTCCTGCGAAAGAAGTAACGCGAATGACGCCCCCCCCCGTTGCCGATAACAATGACGACCGCGGTAAGCCAGGCGTGTGATCCAATTAAATAACGGAAATATCAGGAGCCGAAATTAACTCTTTCAGCTCTAAGCGGTTTATAAAGCGACACTCCCGCGCCTCGATTGTACGTTTAGCTTATGAATGGGAAATCTAATTGCAACCCCGCCTTCTGCGAAATAACCGAGGCCACTTTATTCATGAATAAGTAAGCCGAGGCGGTTGTAATGTGTTATCACTTGGCCTAAGTACACAGCCACGTGATGCTTAAATATTGCGGTGGCATTTGTTACCGCGCGAACCGAAAATGTTAATTACGTTCCGGCCGCACGACACCGTCCGTGGTTACTAAGCACGAGTTTTAATCCTGGCAATCTTCTCTGTTTACACGAACAAATTTATATCCCGGAGAACGCTAAGGTTGTAACGTTATAACGTTCCCGATTAGAAACAGGTGTAATTACTTCTGATCGAGACTTAGGCCAACGGCACGCGATACTATTTTTTTTCTACTGGACTGCTTACGAGAGCCAATCAGGATCATCTGATCTAAAACTCTGCATCCTTATTGGATTTCGCAAGCAATCCAGTGGGAAAAATAGTCCCAACCATAGTGTAACTAGTAGGCCCACTCTCTGTCGGCCCAGAACTGATCTTTGCGGTCCCGATCACGTGGTATTCCGCCATGTTTTCGGTGCAAATCCACCAGCGTATGTGTGTGTACGTACACCCGGCGTTATTAATGCCTAGCCATCTGAAGTTGCACGCAGATCGAGGCATTTTTGATAAGCGTGCGACTTCCCAACTCTTCGTGCTTCACGACTATGGAAACAGCGAATCAGCATTGCCGGTTTCAATGTCATGATACACGAAGAGTTAGAAAGTCGCACGCTTTTCAAAAGCACCTCGATCCGCGTGCAACTTCAGACGGCTAGGCATTAATGCCATGTGTACATACATACGTATGTGTGTGTGTGTGTACTCGTCAAACTACACCACCGCACATACAACTTTTCTCTCATTGGCCGCACCAACAAAATGTCGGATGCGCAGAAGGGATCGACGCAAAACGAAACAAATGCCGGAGTGGACCACTAGTTAGACTATGGTCCCAGCTACGTTAATCGACACGAGAATGAATCGGAACAAAGGAAAGTGCACGGTGATCGAGAATTGCGCGAAATGATGAGTGCAGAATATAAGTGCGAAAGTCATTCAGAATTCTCCATGGATGTCTGCTCTTCCAATCGAAGACAATGGAACTGTAGAACAATGTTATTACGTAGCACACCACCGAATTTCCCTCGCTGTAGAGAGAGAGCCGGATGCAACCCCCGCATGGACATTTCTAAAAATAAAAGGCATTTCCGTCCCTACCCGTGTCGAACAATTGCGCTCGAGCTACATCCCCCTCAGAGCAGTAGTAACCATTATTTGGTATTGCGCCTCGAGTGACGTGCACAAACGCGCGACGCGACGGCGATCATGAAACCGTAGTACAAGGGTGCGTTTCCACTGAGCGCGTTACGCGCGTAGACATGATACATAGACTGCGCAGTTTGGCTGCAGAAGCGTACAAACTTTAGAAAGAGACAACATACTTGGGACCTTATTCTCTCTCCGTCTATCTGTCTGGAGTGGTGCAAAAATTCAATATGGCTACTGTGCTTATCCTTTAACCTCTATCATCCCCTACTCTTCTGTTACCCCCCACTACTTCTACTAGACAAAGATGAGGTACAACCCCACACCAGTTATCTCGTTCTAAAGTTTGTACATGTTTTCGCACGGGTGAAGTAGGGAACGCGCAGTCTATTCTTACTGTGTCTATAGCTACGAATTATGCTCGACAATCCAATGAGCGAGCAGTTTTTGTGGAAAGGTAACCGAGTTTCGGTTGTACGCTGTACGCTCATTGGATTATCACCCTACTAGTAGGCCCACTCCGTATTTCGTTTGGTTTCGCGTCGATCTCTTCTGCGCATCCGTCATTTTTTTGGTCCAACCGATGATACAATTGTTGTATGTGTGGCAGTGTGGTACTCTGATGAGTACAGTACGGTGCATTAACTCGGTTCAGGTAACAATTAGGGCTGGGCAAAAATTACTTAGTTATTTAAACATAGATGCTCTTTTACAATACGACCCAAAGCAAATTAATGCACCGCACTGTGCGTACACACACGCGCGCGCGCGCTGTTGGATTTGGACCAAAGACATGGCGCGATACCGCGTGATCGGGACCGAAAAGATGAAAGGACAGAGGGTGGACGTACCAGTTATGCTACAGCGAGACCTTGGGAGACTGAACGCCGAAATGGCTGGTTGGTTGTGTGTTCCAGCAGCATCCGAACGCGATCAACAATAGCGAGACGAGCATGGGCGGCGCGTCGGGTGCGTGCGGAAGCATCCCGGCGCCCGGGGAGGCCGGATGCAGCAGCAGGGTCGGCAGCAGCAGCGGCGTCGGCGGCGGCAGCGGCGGTGGCACCGGCTCCGGACAGGGCTGCGAGCAGGCTCACGGGGGCACGTCCTCTCACCCCTCGCGGGACAGCCACGCCAAGTTCCGGCACGGCCTGCTGCAGCTTATGATCCACACGATCGATCCGCTCCACGACGGTCAGTCCCGCGCCGGTATATCAACTCCACACTCTATCACTCTCGCTTGCGGCTTGCGCTTTTCTGTTAGCACGAGTTACTTCGTTTCTCTAGTGCCTGCTCTATGTGTCGTTTTCTCTATACATGTCGCACGCGTTCGCTTTCCGCGCCTCTCACGCCCGCGTGCGCTTATCGCTACGCTCCAGCGTGCCGCGGGTATCGAGCGCTCGACGTTCTGCCGATATCACGCTCGGTCGCAGGGCTCTTGATAGAAACGGATGTCGCGCGATTTCGCCGTAACTCCGCAAGTCTGGTCCGCACGATTAAGCCGATACGGAGAACGCTGCTCTTGATAGCACTTGCAAGATAGATTCATGCATTTTTCATGAGCTTCGGTGTTTCGAAAAAAATGTGGACTCGTCGTATCGGGGAAGATACGCGTACACTTTTGCACGGGGGGGAGTTTTTTTCTTCCTCACTCGAAGCAACGAGATGTGCTACTTGGCAAAATAAATGAACGTTAAACTAAATGAACCAATTATTAAAAAAAACATGAGACCAAATTGAAGTGGTAGCAACGCGGTACGCGCAGAAACTTCAGCGGCGATAACAAAGTTTCCGCGGAATTTCAAAATGAATATTAATAAATGCTCGATCGGGGCCAATTAAGAATCTCCCGGAGCAGCGGGGCGACGCGAAGCGCGGCCCGGCGAAATTTTTCGGGCTGGCAACGCAATTTCGTCGACGACTTAACGAGGTTTCCGATCATCGCTACGACCATTAATTAGCGTAGATAACAGCTGTTGTTGTCCGTGACGTAATTACAACATGAAATTTCAAGCGCAATCGATCTATTAGCTGTCGCAGAAAACTGCATAAACGGAATCGCGTCATCTTGGAGAGCACAGTCGCATAATTGCAACGCCACTCGATAACTGTTTTATTTGTTGCATGTTTGCGCAATTGATCGTCGCGACGCTTTTGCGATAGCGGTGCCCGCAGGCAAGCTGAACCCACCCGGCCTTCGGAAGCTCGTACCGCCGACGTGTCTCCGAGACAAGTCGCAGAATTCCCGACAGCCCGACGGATAAAGTGTTTTTAAATGTAGAACTGTGCGAGCGTTTAATAAAAAGAACCCCGCGGCTTTACGCAGCAGACAGGCGGACTAATACATACGCGTGCTCAAGGCTTTAATCTCTTCGGGAATTCTACCGCGCTGAATAAAATCTCACTCTCGTAACTCGAACGCCGTAAATTTCAAATGGCATAGTACCCCGCGGCTAATAAACTCGGCTAATAAGTTGGCGATTTGTTGTACGGTAAACAAGCAATAATTTAGAAGCCTAACGAATTATGCCCGGGTGAAAATGGCGACACTTCAATTCTACGTTATTATCGGAACGTGCAATTTGGATCGTGTATCGCTCAAAGAAATATCTTACTAACGCAGGTAAAGTTGTAGGTTCGCAACAAAAATTTGTCGCTATTTTGCGCATCTGTTGGAAAATTGTTCGTAGCCTGCAAAATTTATAGCAGCAACGTTCTAGCAATACCTTCTGGAAAGTCAAGGTGTCGTGACCAAACAGTAAAAAGAATTTTTAGACGACGTTATGCAAGATCTTTTTTTCCATCATTGTTAGATAAGAATTTCTCTGTGCCGAATGAAAGTGTGACGTAATATTTTAATAATTTTTGCACAATTTTCGTCGGCGCGAAAACCGAAGAGCACCGCGTCCCCTCCGATCCAGAGAAATCTGTCCACTTGTTTTGACCGTGTGAAAGACGACAAGTCGAGGCCGGCTTGACACCCAAGCGGAAAGAATCACGCGGAAGCGCATTACTTGGGGAGCTTCTTTGCAGATTCGTTCTAGCCGCGTATTGTCGGGTCGAAACTTAGGCAGCATCGCTCGTTCATTGATGTCGCAACCGACGTCTGAAATGTGCGTGAAATAAGGACGGTGCCCACATTTTCAGAAGGTGCATGTCGACTGGACAGCAACGGTTTCATGAATGACAAACGTAGCTGTGATGTAGATAGTATACGAGTATAACCTTGCTATATCGAGAGCTTGTTTGTCAGAGATCTACAGCATGCATGTCATATCGATTGCGATGGTAAAAAGCTCTTAACGCACGCTGCACGCTACACTTATTTCTCTGTATTCCTCGATTTTTTTTCCCCCATATATTTATAGAGTCCAAGAGGACACGGCTATCGATTAATGAATAATATTTTATATCAAGTTATCCTCTTACTGATAAATACGCGAGGATTTAGCGACGCCGGTGCATCTATGCGCGCTATGCGAGCTCGATAAAAACCTCCTCGTGCCGGAATTTTGTATCGAGCGCCCCTAGAGCTTGATTGGTTTAAATTTTCACTGTGTTCGGAATACGTCCAAAAATAGTTATCGATGACGAACGTGATCGCTGGGTCGTGCCTCAGGCTATAGCCGGCCGTTAATAAATAATTCGGTGGAGATTGGAAGCGCGTAGGAAGTCAATGCCATGATACTTTCCGTCCTAAATTATTAGCGCTATCGTCCGTTAACCGTTCGCAAACGTTTAGCGCACACATTACGCTCAATTATGTTCTTCGCGGCGTTAATTCGAATATTCTCGTGATTGGCATTTAAACGTCTCGTTTCGCTCGCGTGTCAGCGGTAAATCGGACTCTCGATTCATTTTCCGCGCTAAAAGTCCCGCCAAACGGGCTCGTGTTTGCCGACTGAAAAATACGCTTGCACACTTGCCAAGCGCGCTCTCATTTGTTCTTAAAAATAAATATTCTCACACATCTAATCCGCTTCCACGTCCGTGCCCGAATAGTTTATAACCAGGGTTGAGAACATTACTTTATAAAAGTATCTAGTTACAGTTTGTTTGTTTTTTTTCGCTAAAAATGTAACTAGTTACAGTTACAGGTTACCATTTCTGAAAAGTAACGCGTTACAGTTACAGTTATTTAATAAGTAACGAATCGTTGCTTTGCAGCTACTTTCTTGAAATGAAAATAAAAATATCAAATCTGCATTTGAATGGTAAAGCGCCGATAAAGACGTTTATGCGTAAGTGCAAGACCTAATGCGATCTGTGGAGGTTTAAGATACACACGTATATAAAGTAACTGTTAATGTAACTATTAGATTAGTTACTAGTTATCGAAAAAATGTAACTGAATTGAGTTACAGTTGCAGATGGAGAGAAAGTAACAAAGTTAAGTTTAGAGTCACCAAAAAAGTAACTGTAACTTCGTTACAAGTAACGGATTACTTTCCAACCCTGTTTATAACTACACACTCTTAGAAATTCAGGAACGTTCATGAATACAAAGTGTTTATTTTATTCACACGGTATTTCAATTTAGCCATTTAGGGCCAGTTTTACAAACGTCGGTTAACTGCTAACCGAAGGTTAACTGATCCTCTGTCTCTTCTTACAGACCAAGATAGAAAAAGATAGGGCGTTGACTGAACTCTGGTTAACAGTTAACCAACGTTTGTAAAATTGGCCCTTACAATCGAAAAAAAACTGGTGAGGGAAAAGAAGGCTAATGCGAGCCAAACGCAGGTATTCGTGCAAAAATGTCCATTATGAATTTGTAAATTGATCATCAAACGTTCCGACCCATTTTCGGGTCATCCTCAGTGAGACTAAGAACAAAGAATTATAAAAGGTGTTGCATAAATGTAACAAATATAAAAAATATAAAAACTTAAAACTTAGATTAATCATAGACACAGATATGTTCGACGCTTAAATACGAATCTGTCATCTCGAGTTGTCATCTGACATGTTCGCACGAGTCTCCAAATGGCGAAAGTCACAATCGAAAGAATCGCAACCGAAGAAATTCCGCCGAAAAAGTCCTAGACAACGAACTTACCTTGAGCTTGTAACGTGAATTTTGATTAATCGCCACGTTAAGCCTTTCAATTGAAACGCGGGGGGCATAAATTACAACAATTGCGCCATACAGTAAATCAATAAGGATTCCATCTGACATGTCAGAAATGAAGCCTGGGCTCACTTGTTTTCAATTATCGCCTGATATACGATCTCGAATCACCGCCACGAGCGGATTCCACACATCCTTGCACCTGAGATCCCCGGATTATTAAATTGACGATTGTTCCGCGAATACTGAACAATCGCGCTCGGTATTTCCGATTAACACGTCGAGCTGCGATTAAACAAGCCGGCACAGTGACGGGACAGAGTAAAATCTCATTTTACTCGGGGGGAAAACGTCGGATATGTGGGAAAGGATAACAAGGCGCGCTCTCAATCGCCGATATATCAGCGCGATCAGGACGTCGGAGGATTAAGTGCGCGCGATACGACGCGTGAAAGCACCGCGCTTGGTTCCAGTCGGTGGGGGCTGGAGAACAAATGCGAGTCCATTCCGTGATATTTCTCCCTTGTTCGCGGCCACCCGTGTGCATTTATAGATCGAAGCGCGCACGGAAGGGAGACGGGCAGCATTATTTTACCGTAGCCCCCGCAGTCACGGTCGCCGCACACGCGGCGCGCATTAACAAAAGCAGCGCGGAGAAAACGCGAGATAACGTTACCATTTTCTAAACGGCCCGGCTTACCGGACTGGCTCCAATTCCTCGTTCGTCCCGCGCAGGAAATGCCGTCGCTGCGCGCGGCGATGAGTCTTGGGCCCCGCTTTTCCGGATGAAATCTCGCGCATCAATCTTGCACGATAAGCAGATAATGAATAAAACAAGACACGAGCGAGCGATGCGTGCATCAACAATTGCGCGAAAAAGAGAGAGAGAGAGAGGGAGACGTGGGAAAATCTTCGCAGAATGCGGCTTTAAAGCCGACATGCGATGTATCATTTAATTCCGATTATTGCTGCTAATTCTGACGGCGACCGTTAAGGGGATGTGGGGAGTGACTCTGCACCCTTTGCACTTTTTGCATCTAGAACTATCAATTCGTGAAAACATGTGTGTAATACACAAATTATGAGGCTTGCGCGTACAGATCAAAAGTGTTCCACTATTCGG